GATATCTCCGGTTCTACTGGGCCTAAAAAGTCCCTTAAAACGGGTAAATTCTCTTCATCTCAATCTTATGTTAACTAGAAATTTGTTACAGATGCGCCAGATATTCTTGGATTATTTTTGTCACCCTGAAGGTTTTGTTTACACACTTGCCGATAACAAGTTGTTCACACGCAACTAATTGAGCGTGAAAGAAAGTTGAGCCCGCATCATGTTTCCGTGCTGCTTTGTGGCTCTCTTAATACGCAGGGAGGAAAGAATTTTTTTTCAATTCAACAACTGGCAGATTTTAAAATTGTCACAACCCGCACCTCCCTATTACCCGCAGTGGCGCATGTTTAGTGCAAAATCATCAGATTACCCGTGAGTAATCGGCCAGAAATTACGGTAGTTTTTGCAAAAGCGAAAAAAACCCAGATCAATTGTTTGGAAAACTTTCCACCCCCACCCCCTTTCCAAAAAATTATGCTCTGTCTTTCCCTGAATTGTGAGACTGTTTCTAATAACATATAAGAAACATTATAAGGAGTTCAGAAAGGTTACCACATTTAATTAATTCACCTTCTTTTAGAAAGTTTAGTGATTGATTGATCAGGATTGATCGATCGATCAATGTAGTGACACATTAGATGGGATTAGTGGATCACCCAGGGCAGGGGTCCCAGGGTCTGTGGAAGGATTATTAGCAAGTTTCAGTGGGTGGATTCAGAAAAAAGAAGAAATTGGGAGGAGACCCTTATGTTTTCAACACCCTGGGACCCCACAGTTTTCATAGAATCCAGGACCCCCTACCCCTCTTTATCCACTATTAAAGAACATGACACAACCTCTTTTTTAAAAGGCATTTGAACCAAACTATGGAATGTATCACGTGATAAAATGACAAAATGCCATGTGATTTGTCATACAAGTTACTCCAAAATGACAGGACTTGTCAACATGTAATAAAAACAATTAACGTGTAGTAAACTTAGAACCATGACCTTCAGCTAGTCTTAGAACAAAAATTAAAAAATGAGAGTTGCCTACCAGTTCTGTGATCCCCGGCTTGATATGAGGTACCAGACTCACTGGCATCGCAAGGGCACCTATCCACTTCCCTGATTTCCTTATCATCATTACCATCATCCGAGCTCCCAGTCAAGTCTCTATTCGAAGCACCGGAGAAAAATTCGCACAAGTGCGATTGTTTGGCAGGGTTGGCAATGGCTTCGCTGTCGCTTTCATCCGACATGTCTGTGAAGTCGTCGCCAGGAATTAAGTAGAATGTCAAACGCTTAAACTCTTTACCGATTGCTTGTTTGTATGTGGAAAGTTGAAATGTTTCGTTTGTCCCGGGAACATTAACCACTTCTCGGAAGTCGGGATATAGCAAGGTGTACTGAAGAGTGTCGTCAAACGACTGATCGAAGCTTGCGTGTTTGGCTTTTGCTTTCTGCATTATATCCTCTTTCTTGGCTAAGGAGTTGACGGTGATAATCTGAGTCTTGCCACGACGAAGTTTTATTACCCCGTCTGTTTGCCCTGCTAAACCAACTTTAATTTCAACAATCGTTGATTTCTGCGTCGATTTCTTGCTCTTGGAATGGCCTGAATGGCTCCCTCTCATTTTCTTCCTGGGGGGCTTAAAACCACTCTGACGATCCTCTTCTCGCTTTTCATAGAATTC